GTCACCGAGTCCATGTTTTCCAACTACTGAATCTTCTTCTTTGTTCCCGACTTTTGCATTCCAGTCACCCATTATTATCAGTGCATCTTGATTGCATGTTCGATCAATCTCCGATTGTAAAAGCTGGTAAAAATCTTCTATCTCCTCTTCCTTGGCTCTGGTTGTTGGTGCATATATTTGAATGATAGTGGTATTCAGTGGACTTCTTGTATGCGTATAGATATTATCCTGTTGCTGACAATATTGTACTTCAAGATGGATCCAGCAATGACTTTTTTAACTATGAAAGCAACTCCATTTTTTCTCACCTTTTCATCTCCAGAGTAATATATCATATGTTCATCCGACTCAAAATGCCCCATGCCAGTCCATCTCATCTCAACAATGCCTAGTATGTCAATACTAATGCATTCCATTTCTTCCTTAACAATATTGAATTTTCCTACATTCATGGTTCTCATATTCCATGTCCCAATCACCAGTGTCTGCTTACAGCTGTTCCTCTTCCTTTATATTTCCATACTTGAAAACTCAACCTCCTTTGCCGTTTCTGTTATCTAAATGTGTTCTGTTGTACATAGGGTTTTCAGAGGCCTGCTATTTCAGAAGTGGATGGCCAATCCTTCTTCCTAGTCTGTCTTTATGTGAATGTTCGGATTAGAGGGTGCAAAATGGTGTTATTTCTAGTTCTTTCAGTACTTCCACATTTAATTAGCTGAAATTCATCTATAAAGACTAACTTTTCCTCTCCTACTAGAATTAGTGAATTTATCTAGCAAAGTATTGTTTATACAGGAAAAGCAGGCAACATGTTTAATTATTTTTGTCTTAATTTTCTGAGTAAAATATTAGTGCCCTGGCTTCTTCCAGGTTATTCTATGAGGATTTCTTTTTTCTGTATTTTTAACCAGATACTCCCCCCCTCCTTTTCTTTCTGCTTAGTTGCTACTCCTTTAGCTTATGGGAACTTGTTCAGTCTGGCTTGCCTGTCCTTTTGACAGACTTCTTACTCTGCTGATTTCCTTACTTTCTGGCAACATCACCATGGACTAGATACCGCTAGTGTTTCTTGCTCTGACTTGGAATTAGCTTTTCTGACTATACCTGCATTTTACATCTTCACTTAAAAAGAAGCCTAATTGACTAGTAAGTCCTAATGTCTAATTGACCCTGGTTTTAGTGGAAATGGTATTTTAAAAATCAAGTTCTAGTGCCAGAAGGGGAGCTCTGGTGGTGTAGTTACTTAGGTAGTTTAGCTGCTGATTTAAAGACAGCACCTCTGGAGGTTCAGATCAACCAGTGGCTCCCGAGGAGAAAGATGGGCAGTTTCCTCCCATGCAGTTGACAGCCTCAGAAAACCTGCTGGAGTCATAGGTGAGTCAGAGGACAGGGAGTTTGACTCTTAAGTTTGAATTGCCAGATGTGTTAATTTCTGCTGGGATGTTGCTGCTAAACCTCGTCAGTGAACAGAGCTAGGAAATAACTATTTTTCCAAAGAAAAATAAGTTCATATTAGTATAACTAATGTTTAATACTACAGTTTTTACTTGTCTTTTTCACATGAACCTCTTTATGTAAAGTGGAATCTTGGTTCTTAACAACAGCAACTTAATTACTTTCATTATGCCATGATATGTAAAAAAGTTTGAGAATAGCACCACATAGGTAACTAGCTCAAAGTTTATTGAATGCAGTTTAAGATTTCTTTGCAACCTTACCCTTACAAGAAATAAAGAACAAAGTGCTGTGTTCTAAAATAACTTGAAATAATTAATTTCCTTTATGGTTGTATCACCAACGTGATATGTGCTTAGTTTAGATTGTTTTATTTTGAATTCAATTTATAGTAGTTTTTTTTAAATTTATAGTCGTTTTTAATTTGCTGTTATTTTTTGAATTCTTAAATCGTATTTCCAAATTGAAAATTAGAACAGGCTATGTCCAGAGGGGTCTATTCTTCTAATGTTTGGGGTTTTTTTTGCTAATATAAGCAAATGTGTACATACTGTGTTGTTTACTGTTGAGTCAGAACCAACTCAAAGCTCACCCTCCAGCTGATCTCCAGAGGCAGTTATTGCACC